GTGTTTACCCAAAGCTCCAACACACAGTTAATTACTCATGCGCTGAATTTATCTTGCTCTGACACGGTCAGATTTACGTTGTTTTGCTTGAAACCCGAATTCTCAATTAATATTGGGTACTGGCGCTAATTGCACACCGGTTTCGAGCTCGTTAGCTCTCGTCAGTGTAACATAAGCGAAAGCACACCAGCTCAGAGAAACAGGCTTAAAGGAGATTCACACGATAAGGAAGATATAGACTTTTAAGAGTGTGTGGCTCCCTCTCTTTGAAGTCCTACAAAGAAAAAACCTGGCTCAGTAGGTACCTAGCAGTGTGTTAGAGCTTTGGTTAAACACCTGTGTGTTTTTCCGAAGATATTGTCCAACAACTTTCTCATTTAAGATTCTAATAAAAATAAGTATTCGTAATAGGTGAATTTTGCAAAAGGACACATTGGAAAGGTGTAAATGATAGAAGAACCACCACTAGAGCCACTTCCAATTTCTCTGTCTTGGGTAGTTGTTATTCAGTGTTTGTCGAAATTCTTTTTAAGTCGTCTGCCCAGCGAGGTCCTCCTTCCATCTGCGACATGTCCTGCCCATCTCCACTTTTTCCATCTTATCCATTCCATTAAGTGTTTAGTATACTTCTGCGAATCTCCTCGTTTATCATCCGATCCCTCAGAGTCAATCCAATCTAGACCTCTCCATTTCTTTTTGTGTCACTCTTAATCTTTCTGCCAGACACACTGATTAAGTGTCATGCTTTCTATTTCAGAGTCGTCGGTATGTCTGACTTGAACACGCATCTTGCATTTTTCCATATGCTGGCCGCCCTAGAGTTATTCTCCTGGACAGTTTCAGCTGTTTGGTTTTTGATTTGGCAACGTTGGATCGCGTACCTAATTATTTTACTTTTGAAGAAATTTATCTTTTATTCAAAATCTTTCAGAGAATGGTGAAGTTCCTCGAGAATATTTTTAAATTTTCTTAAATTGTCTGATATTAGAACAATATCGTCCGCGATGCCGAGGTGGTTAGGGGACCATTTGTTAAGTTCTCGCCGACCGATTATTCTGCTTTATGTCCAATTTTATTTCAAACCGAAAATCCGAACGAACAACCAAGAGTTTCACGTCTAAACACCCACACAGGAGTCGAGTTTATCAGATTGTATTAGGTTTGTTTGATTGTTTCTTAGTATGTTTTTTGGTCAGGTATTATTACGATTACAAAACCAATTCAAGGATTAGTCTAGAACACCTTATTGTCCCTGCTGTAACATGGTAGTAGTGTCCAATTCAAAAAGTGAAGAAAAAATATAATCAAGAACCATGTAATCGTGAGACTTGGATAGACAGGAGGGCATCCATTTGAAGATGTTAAGCATGTGGATACTTTGCCGAAGAACATAGACTCAGAAAATATTATTATCAAAGATTTGGTTCTAAAAGGACTCTGGGTAATAGGGATTTGGAGGATGATTGATGAAATCATGATGGATCTGATTGGAGCTATATAGACGCCAGAAGAGAAGGTATCTTGACAATATGATGGAGAATAAAAGTTCCGACGTCAGTGCTAGAACTCTTGATCGAATATTCAAGTGTAACGAACTTCTTGTGTGATTTTTTTACAAAATAAATTTAGTTTATTTTAAGACAAGAGAACCTATAGGGTCGTGGAATTCAAAATAAATAAATAAAGATAACGTGTAGCCCCTTTATGTGCAAATGAAACCACTCAAATTCCAACAAACAATAATGTTATTCAATATTTGTTCACAATGCAAGTAACAATGTTACTTTTCTTAAAAATTTGACAGTTAACAGTTTGGTTGTTCTGGTGAATCTGATACAATATGTATCTTTCCAATCCGAAGCTGTTGGAGCTTTCCTTTCGTGAACTGGAGCTCTTCGTGTTGTTTCCTGTATCCAAGTAAGAGGATAGATTATCGGTGTGACGTCACTCCAGCTGATCCAGACTCCAAATAGTGATCTTTTAGGTCGAGTAAGTACCCAGAAAAGAATAAGGCAGTATCAGATTCACCAAGATTTGGAATACTAAATCCTTGAATTCTGTCAAAAAGCGAGTTTCTTGCAAAGAAGATTTAAATTGAAATTAGTTTATTATTAAACTATTGTTGTGCAGACACTCCTTTCCAACAGAATCAGGTAAGTTTGAGCAACTATAGCAAATAGGAAAAAATATTTTAATATAAAAAAAACAATTAAATAATTCAAAAAAATGATAATAAAATAATAAAGTCGTAATAATTGGGTAAGTATACAGCAAGATTAAAGATAGATGCTCGTTATCATTGAGCAGAATGGTGCTTTTCTAGCAGTCGCACCAAACAGGCAAAATTCTATAGATCTCTAGATTTTCCCCAAATAGGCAAATTTTCCTTTCAAGTTAAGGTACCTACTATAGGTACTACAAAATAAAACTGAGGGTGAAATTAATTAAATCCAGGAATTCTCAAAATTCTTGAGATGTTTCAATTAAAACTTTTTTAAATGAATTTTTGACCTATCCAGATTTCTATTTTAAAAATGACCTTTTCAGCACTCTACTTCTCGAAAAGAAAATGAGAGAGTTAAACAATAAAAATGGTTATACAGGCCTCTGCCTGGATTCGGTAAAATGTTGATAGGGATGGACACACAAATTTGGTTTGCACCGACTCTACTAAGAGCAAATGGTCCAATAATCCCACACTGATAATTCATTTTGAAAACCAGAGCAGCAGTACCTATTTATTAGCTAAAACCTTGAATTAACTCACCTCAGAAAAACGTGGGACCACCAATCACAAAATGGAGGCACACAATTAGATAAAAAAAAATAAAAAATATAATATTTATATTTCAAAGGTAGATAAGATAAGATTTATCAGGTGAAAACTCAACAGTGATATGATAGTATACACTGATGGTTAAATAAATTAAAAAATATTAAGGGAAAATCTAGAAATCTGAAGAAAAAAAATTACAAAAATACCGAAATCGACTTGCCTGTTCAGTGGTTCTGCCAGGAAAGAGACTGTTTTAGAACCTTAACCCTGCACGAAACCAATATTGTGTTTTTTTATGCTTAACTGCGTAGTAACCATCGACCAATCAGAAGACAACACTTAACACACACAAAAGACCGTATCCACTTCATGAAACACCACGTTGATTAAAAGGGAATAGATAAAAACATACTAGAATTAATTTAATTGTTTACAAATTACAATAATTTAAATTAGGGTTATGTCGAAAACACAGAACCACTAATTAATTAGGTCATTAAGCCAAAAATAATTATTTCAGAATCAGAAGTTAGTGAAAGAAATATATCTATTTGCTAAAAGTGAGATAAATATAATTTCTTTAAATGAAAATACGAATGACTGTCAATGAGAAATAAAAAAAATCATATTTAAAAAAATAAAATCAGGTACTAGATGGCGGTACCCTCTATTAATAACAGATATTTGCATTTTTATGCTCATTATGGATAGATGGCAGTACTGATATTATATTGAATTAATTAAATTTTGTAGATACTTTTAAATTACTTTAGTTATAAGTTACTATTTTGCTGATTCTGAAATGGCAAAAATACAACGTTATAATGAAAATTAGAAGAAATGGAACATATTACGAAAATGATAAATTTATCGTAACAATCTAGATAAACAAGCATTCAAGTACGAGATTCTACTCGAATAAATTATTTCGTATATAAAACGCGTAGTTGGTGAGTGAGAATTCGTGCAATAACAGTTGCTGTTAGTAAAGAATAGATAGTTCTAGTAGACCCACAGATACTTGACAATACAATGACCACTAAACTAATAAAGGAAAAAATAGTCCCTATACCGAACAATTTCATCCTTGTCAAAAAAGGGAAAAATTTAAACTAAATTATCCGAAAGCATTTCTGCATATTTTAGCATAATAAACCAACATTGTCGCCTTTAGATTGAGTGAATTTTATAAGAAATTTTACGACACCCTCAAAAAAAAAAAACGAAATAAAAGTTTGCCGGGACATTTTTACCACTTCATTTCCACGAAGCTCCGCGGGGACTTCATTATACTTACGGAAAGCGAGAAAATTGGAGAAACCATACATTTACCTAGCACAGCCAGCCAGCCAGAGCAGCTACGGTAACTGAACAAAAAAAATCGCTGTGCGGGTAATTTCTGACGAATTATTACTCCAAATGGGTTTTTTTTTTTGTTATTTGTAAAAGGTGCTAGTTAAAAGTATTCAGTCTAATTACCAATTTAATTTAAATTTTTGAGAAATAAAATAAAAATTCAATGAGCGCCACGGGCTAGGGCTGTTAATGAAAAATAAATTTTTAAGGTGAACCATTTCAGAATAACTAATTTGTTATTCAAAATGGAGCAAACTCAGTTTTTTTAGGATAGCCATTTACGACAGCTGCGTGAGAAGTTTTTACTTGTATCAAGCAGATGTAAAAAAAATCTTATCTACAAACTACAAAAATCACACAGGTAACTTACAGACTCATTGTCTTTGCCGAAAACACCTGCCCTCTCAGTGCGTCAGCCAAAAAGTCCTTAATTCATTTTGCCGACAGAGTGTCCTTTTGCTTTTAAGACCCTTATAACATCTTATCTCAGATCTGGTAGTCCAGAAACATGATTTTACAAAAATAAACCTTGTTTTAAGGGCTTTAAAATGTCTTTTCCAAATGGTGAATATGAACACAACGCAACGGGCAGCTGCCCCCTATTGATATGCGGGACACATTTGAAGAAAATTTGTAAATGTTATAGCTCATAAATATGTATGTGTGTTGGACACAAATTTAAAATTTTAAATGAGAAAACAAACTTTTCAAAAGTTGTGGCTTTCCTCCGGATTTGAAAGTTTTCCTCTGGACATAGACTCAGTTTCCAATATCACGCCAGGCTATTCCGTACTGACATAAATTATTTAAGTGAAAAATCGAAATCGGATTGTGTCATGCACCTTGCCAATCGCATACGGAGCTATTTTTACTTCATGCATATTTTAAGCGGTAATGGCGCCCAATTACTTTAAAAGCATCGTTTATGATTTGTTCAAGGAGTTTTCGTATTGGTACAACATATGTAATGCCAAAAAATTACCTATTATTTGATTGCAAATGGGTTTGGTACCTTTTTCAGGAGTACTTCTGCCTACTCCTCTGGTCAAAAGTTTTTTCCTGTAGCTTTTTTCTTCTTTCCTATTATAATTTTATCTTTTTCCCGACCTGAAGTTTGTTAGGCAGGAGTGAAGCATTTCTGGATAAGGCATTTTCACCTTATATAATTAATACACTATTACCATTGATCATCACCAAACAATATGAATAAAAGTTTCAATACTTTGTGCTAAATAATAATTTGGTTTGGTTATCATGTTAAACGCGAGTCATTGATAAATAGCAGCCAGTACTATCTAATAAGTAGGTAATAAAACAAAAATTCCCAATTATACTGTCATACGTTTGTTCAGTCTTTGAAGTCGTACCTATCTGCCTAAAAAAAATACATAAAAACAGTCAGTATATATTCAAGTCGTGTAATTGTTAATCCAATTCTAAATTTGCCCAGAACAATACAGTATTATGCTTTTTAAACAAATTATTTTGGTAAAATGTTTGTTTTTATTGGTTTTTCTGGTGAGAAATGGTATGGCAAGTTTATCAAATTTTACTGAATTACATGAAGAGGTTCTGAAGTTGATAACAAATTTTGATACATATCAAATACCCAAAAATAATGATGAATATTTTTCGGATAACACCTCTAAGGAAAAAGGTAAAGCACGTTTTATTCATACTAACACAAACTTTACCAGAAAATGGCTAATTTTTAGATTATGGAACATACGATTTTATAGTTATTGGAGGAGGAACTGCAGGTGGAGTTCTAGCCAATAGATTAACAGAAGAAAATTGGTCAGTTCTATTAGAGAAGCTGGTCCTCCAGAACCAGATACTTCATCGATACTCGGCCTAGGTGGATATCATTTCCGAAGTATTTGGAGTTGGGGATATAATACCACCACACAAAAACATGCTTGTTTTGGTAAAGAAAATTCTATTAACAAAATCTAAAATAATCTTGGCATTAGCTTCAGATAATCGACAATGTTTTTATCCAAGAGGTAAAATGTTGGGAGGCTGCAGCAGCCTTAATGTAGGAATGTATTCGAGAGGACATCCAAAAGACTTCGACACATGGGCATCCGGATGGTCCTACAAAGATGTTTTACCATATTTCAAAAAATCGGAACAAGCTAAGTTTACAATAGATATAGACCGTAGTTATCATGGATTTGATGGACTTCAAAGCGTCGATGTTCCTGAAGATACACCAGGATTGGTAAAACTTGTTTGTGACTTTTGCAAAATAGCCAAATTTGTTTTTTTAAGACGTTAGATTTAATAAATAGTTTCAAAGAGCTAGGAGCCAAAGAAGTAGACTATAACGGTGAAAGCGTATATGGAATAAGTAGAATTCAAGAATATTTAGGCAAAAATATTCGTTCTAGTACAGCACACGCTTATATAAGACCAGCTGAAAATCGTCCCAATCTTCATATAACTACAAATTCTTTGGTAACAAAAATTGACATATTGGAGAAAAGGGCTAGAGGAATAAGATTTGTTAAGGATGGGCAAAAGTATACTGCAAGAGCATCTAAGGAAGTTATTGTTTCAGCTGGTGCTATAAATTCTCCACAAATATTGATGCTATCTGGTATTGGACCACTCAAAGAACTCCGAAAACACAAAATTAAAGTGATTAAAAATTTACCAGTAGGCAAACATTTCCAGGATCATATGCTTTATCCAGGATTGTATTACAGGCAAGAATATTTATAAATAAACACTTAAAATTTATAATATTTTTTTCTACAGAACTGATCATGTATATTATAACTTAACTTTGAAAGAACAATTGAGGCTCTGGTACAAAAACAAGCGACCATTGGTCGCTGGACTTGGATCTCAATTAGTTACTTATTACAATTTTCAGAATAATACCAATGAAAGGCCAAATATTGAAATCGTTGTTGTTGGCCCTCCTGCTGCAAACAGTAAATGGGGAGCTGTTCTAGGGTTAGGAATTTTACTGATAAATTTTATAGAATCATCCTGAAATATGTTTTTTTATAGGTACAATGAGAAATACTCTGACATTTTTAAAAGTCTCAATGGACTAACTGATATTATGATTTTCGTAATGTTGTTACATCCAAAATCCATAGGAGAAGTAACACTAAAATCTAAAAATCCAAATGATTTTCCTCTAATCAATACAAATTATCTTGCCAATGAAAAGGATGTTGATAGTATTTATAAAGGAGTACAAAGAGTACTAGAAGTAACAAATACCAAAGCGTTTGAAAATATTGGTATTCAAATGTTAGATTTGCCAATGCCGGGTTGTGATGAGTTGCACAGCAAGTTTTCCAGGAAATGGTGGTATTGTTCTATAAAATATTTATCAACCACTGTAAGAGTATTTCTTTATATGTTATGCCTTTTTTTCAATTTACAAAATATTTCAGCTGTATCATCCCATTGGTACTACCAGAATGGGTAGAAGTTGCAAAAACTCGGTAGTTAACTCGGAATTAAAAGTTCATGGAATTGACGGACTCAGAGTTGTCGATGCTAGTGTAATTCCAGATTCTATTTCTGGTCATCCAAACGCACATATTGTGATGCTTGCTGAAAAAATATCAGATACCATTAAAAATGAATATAGCCAAAAAAATTAATTCAAAATATAGTCTTTGTAGTTTGTTTAGTGAAAACTTGAACTTTGTGATAATTTTAAACTTCCAACTAATTGCCTTGAGCGATTTTTCTTTATAAACATAATACAGACGTGGAAAAATCAACTCAAAGATTAATTTTCCTGAAATTCTTTCTTGTATATCTTGTTCCTGTATCATATTCAGCTGTGGTAGGTTTACTGAAGTGATCCCAATTTGGAATTTCAGTGTTTCAATCTCTATAGTGAAAGTGTGTATCCACGTCGTCATTTATTACCATATTTATATTGGAATAATCTAAGACCTAAGCCTGTTTCAACCAGTATTGGGACTCCACTAGCATCAGTTGTCTCTTTATGAAGGTCTGGAAGAGATTCTGTTCAACATCTTCTCTCTTGGTCTCCTGCAGAGCAGAGATGTGTTGATTTTTCTCTATAGTAGCTCTTCGGTATCGAGTGTCTGAGCTCTAAATATCTACTTTTATAAAACCACTGGTGACGGTTTTGGAAGTGGCTAGAGATTGGTTCTTTTGTGTGGTGTTGCTTTTTTGTGATGTCCCTCTGAGAGTACATAGTCTGTGACTGTTGATTTCTCTGTCTAGCCATACTTCTGCTCTGATATGCATGTATTGTGTTGATGCTTTTTTTTTGTAGTTCCTTTGTATACTGGCACACTGTTGTACGGGATTCAAGATACTTCTGCTGCAGATCTTCAAAGACCTTTTCACAGATTTCATATATTGTTTTATATTTTCAGTTGGCTTGGACACAGATATGATTCGTACTGATGCCCAGAATGGTGACACAAGTAGTTTCAAAATTATACCGATAGTCAGCCAGTTGATGCTATGATTGTTGGTCCACCCTGTTGCCAGTGACTGCAATCTCTAACCCTAATCTGATGTTTTGATTTTTTTTTTAAATTCCTTATTCGAAGGGAACTAGGTGTTAAGGATTGCTTTGGGTTGGTACTCGAATTAGCACAACACTTGTTTTACTGAACTTAAATTTATTATTAACAACTAAAAATAACTCATTGATGACAATTCCATTATTCTAACCTGACTTTTTGACTTCAACTGTTGCTACAACAAAACTTCTGTATTCTGTCAAAAGAAGTTAGCGCCATCTAACAAAAGGATACTTAACGCTAGGAACTAAAAGTCCATGGCACAAACAGATTTTGAATAGCTGATTCCACATTTCAGGCCATAGAACCATATAGAACCAGAAAAAATACCGGTTGTAATTGAGAAGAATTTTAAAGGTCTAGGAAACTAGGGTGATTTTCAATATTTCCCAAAGCTCACAACAAACGGAGCAAATTTATTCCCTAACCGCGCTTTAGCGTAAATGCATCGACGGGAACGACGCTAAAACACGCCGCATATTTGCAGGACGAATTATTAATAACAACATACGAGTGTCTCGGTAATAAATACGGATTTTCGAACGGTAATCCCTTGGTAATAAGATGGTTTGGTTATATTTCGAAATCAAATAGATTAAGCAAACTCAATGATTTAATACCCTCAGGGGGCGCCCTGATTTATCCATTATATTTAATAATACCGAATCGGTTTGTATAATATATTTCCAAATATTTCTTCCAAATTATGAATGTCAATTTGGCATTATATTATTAAATTTTAATATAGTCATCAAAGATAATGCCAATGCCCAATAGTAACCGAAAGCCAAACAATACCGATAAACATCTTCAAAGAACATACGCCTTAAGTTTTGGCAAGCAATACAACACAACACAAGACCTGATAATCCGGATAAACAAAAATATCCTGAATAGGATCGTACCGGCTTTATCCGATAAAAAAAGTCTTCCGTTTTGGACACTCCTTATCGTTTCTCGATGTTTGTTCTCTGTCGGATCAACTCCTCCATACCAACTTAAAGGATAACGTCTTGTAAAAAAAAACAAATAAAAGTCCTAATCGGATCAACTAATGAACAAGCTTTTATATGTCGGACGGCTGATACAGTCCCAATTTGTTTTCCGAAGTTAATTCTTTATCTCAGTCGGTGATTAGCCCACGCACCAGATTGGTGGTGGTTTTGTGAGTGGCAAATCCCATAAATTTGGGAACATTCATGTGATACAAATCAAATCCTAAACGTTCTTTGTCTCATTAAGTTTCATTATGGCAGACAAAACATTATTTCTTCAAGTAATATTCATCTGTACAAATAAAACACTAGCTTATCTCCCAGGCCGTTTTGTCGTTTGATACTTCTTTCGCATCTATCTGTCAACTCGAGTAACCTGATGTCCTTGGCGGGGACTTTGCAAAATGTTTCAGGCGTATTGTAGAAGAATGCGAAGAGTTTTCAAGTTGCGACAACCGCTAAAATAACTTATGTTTTTTATTTATGTAAGAGAAGTACACATTTTTATGATTTTCTGTCGGCTTTTTCTTATCATCGTCACAGTTGCATGCATATAAATGCCCAGAAACCTGAGTAGTTGGAAAAATGCTATTGTCTGTGTGACTATATGAGTATTGGATTTGATGAAGCGAATCGGGGAAGTAGGTAGGTATAAATGCGTCATATATATATATATATATATATATATATATATATATATATATATATATATATATATATATATATATATTTTTTTTTTTTTTTTTTTTTCAAATTGCCTTTCTTTTATCAAACTACTTTCGATATAATATGATAATTTGATTCTATCCTTAATTTGATTTAAAAATGCGGTGAATAGCAGAGACTTCTTATTGAGAAGGTGAAAATGTGATTCCATATTTCACTGAAACTCGCACATTCCAAAAACACTTGTCAAAGTAGGTCAATCACTGACAAAAAACTTCCAAGTCCAGCCTATCTATTACATATTATAAGGAATATTATCTAGATTATTAGAAGTGATGATTCCATCACAGGTGACGCTGAGATTTCTGATGAGAAACTCTCTGTTTCAACCAGCAGATTTCGGTTGTACTGTAGGTATACCGCGATAACTTTATCGACCTCGGCACGTCTTTGACCTGTGACTGTTGATGACTTTAATGAAAGTAGTAAATATAACAACAATATGCAAACCCAAATTTAGTATATAAACTGTTCTCATATTTCGATATAGGTTTATAAGTGAGTGAAGAATCAATAATTTTGCAATAATATGTGGTTCTTTAGAAGAATAATAGCTGCTAGTATTGTCACAGCTTGTATTGTATTGGCAATATGTACAACAAAAATTTCGGCATTGTGTTCGAATTCTACGGAACTTTTAGCTAACATTTCCGAATTGGTTAGTCAGTCGGCCACTTATCAAACTTATGTAAATAATAATAAACATTTTACCGGCTTGAATAAAACTAAGAAACCAATTGGTAAGCATAAAGTATAACCTTTATTTTTTCTTCATTAAAACTAATGTTACACTTCCAGATTTTGGAGAGTTTGATTATATTATAGTAGGTTGCGGTACAGCAGGAGGTGTCTTAGCCAATCGGCTCACTGAAGATAAAAACATCGAAGTACTCTGCATTGAAGCAGGTGAGGCAACTCCTGTACTAACTGCAATTTTAGGCCTCAGCACATTTTTCTTTACTACTCCTTTGAATTGGGGATATAATACTACTTCGCAAACAAACGCTTGTTTAGGTAAATTTTAAAGAAACTCATAAGCATTATGACAATGAAGAAAACTCTAGCTCATAAATATCAACAATGTCCATATCCGAGAGGAAAAGTGGTGGGCGGATCCAGCACCATTAACGCAGGAGTTTATGCTAGAGGAAACAAAGAAGACTACAATCACTGGGCATCACTTGGCAACCCGGGTTGGACATACGAAGAATTGTTGCCTTATTTCAAGAAATCAGAATCTGCCAAATTTAAGGTAGACATAGAGCCTCAATACCATGGTTTCAATGGACCCCAGAAAATTTCTGTAGCTGAAGACACTCCTGAATTGGTATGTTGTTTGTAATACTTTAAAAAAATATATATTTATATTTGTTTTAGACACAATTATTCCTAGATGCAGCCAAAGAGCTTGGTGCCATAGAACTAGATTACAATGGTGATAATCAATATGGTACCAGCAGAATCCAAGCATATCTTAATGAAAATATTCGTTCTGGTACCTCACAAGCTTACATTAGTCCAGCACTAGATCGACTCAATCTCCACTTGCAACTAAATTGTCTAGTCACAAAAATAATAACTAAAAGTTCTAGAGCTGTTGGGATAAGGTTTACAATGAATGATAAATTATATTTTGCTAAGGCTACGAAGGAAGTTATAGTTTCAGCTGGGGCTATAAATACGCCACAGCTATTGATGCTTTCTGGTATTGGTCCTAGAGAGGAATTAAAGAAACATGGTATTGAACCCATTGCAATTTTGCCAGTAGGTCAATACTTACAGGATCATCCATTGTTCCCTGGAATGTTTTATAGGTAATCTAATAGCTATGTATTGTAAAATTTCCATGCTTTCATTGTCTCATTTATTGCAATATCATGTGGGTGGCCAGAAGCTTCTCAATTTGAGCTAAAATTTGGAAAATATTGATAAATCCATTGAGAGTCCCATGGGACATCATTTTATGAAACGCAGGTTTTAAAATTTTAGAACCAATCAAATCTATTATAACACATCTTTTGAACAACAAGTGAATGATTATTGTGAAAATAAGCGACCGCTTACAGCAGGATGGGGAGACCAATGTATTACTTACATTAGCCTTGAAAACAATCCTCAAAAACGACCAGATATCGAGTTAGTGACTGTTGGACCACCGGCGTTAACACCAGCTTGGGGAGCTGTTTTACAGTAAATCTACAAGAAATCTTTAAGCAGCAAATTACTTATCAATCTATCTATTAGATATAATGAAAAATATGCAGCAGCTTTCAAAATTCTAAATCCGTTAACTGATTTTTTGAACGCTCTCGTGCTACTCCATCCGGAATCTCGTGGCGAAGTGACACTCAAATCGAAGGACCCTTTTGATTTTCCTCAAATAAATCCAAACTTTTACTCTGATGAACGTGATATGGATCTTATGTATAGAGGAATCGAGAGGGCATTGTCATTAATGCATACGAAGGCTTATAAGAATTTTGAAGCTGAATGGCTACGTATAGCCATGCCTGGCTGTGACGAGAAATTTAAGTCTTTTTCAAAAAAATGGTGGATTTGTGCAATTGGGCATTTGTCTGTATCTGTAAGTAGAATTGATTTATCGGTAATCATTTATAAGAAATTCCTTCCAGTGCTTCCACCCTATTGGTACAGCCAGAATGGGCCCAAGTCCAAACATATCTGTAGTTGATCATGAACTTAAAGTTCATGGTATCGGTGCTTTGAGAGTTGTTGATGCCAGCGTAATGCCATCTCATATATCTGGACATCCAAATGCTGCTGTTGTTATGATTGCTGAAAAAGCATCAGACTTAATTAAAATGGAGAATCTCAATCGTAAGCCTGATTACAGTTGAAAATAATTGGTTTGTTATAGAAGGAGTTATTTTGTTTGGATTCGTATTAAAATAAATCAAATATGTCTTTTTTCCATGAGTATTGAATAATATGCGTGATATACATCCATTTATTATTGATCATTGTGACAGTGGCGTAACTTCAAATCCGGGGCCCTCCCGCAAGGATTTTCCTGGGGCCCATCTTTTATATACAGTGTGTCCGTAAAGTAACGGATAAATTCATTATTTTGAAAACGGTAGAATTTTTGAAAAATCGCTCAGACACGTCAATTCTGTTTTTTTGTTTGAAATTTTTTGAAATATTTTTTATTATACAGGGTGTCTCAAAAATAGCTCCGCTGCTATCAACTTTGTTTTTTCAAATGGATCACCCTGTATATTATGACATTTATGGATTTTGCGAAAAATTCTAGACATATTTCATGTACAATCTTATACACCTATCTTCAACTGTTTCGGAAATATTGACAGTTGAAAATTGATTTTTTTGTTACTGTGACAGGCTGTAAAACCTGAACGGTTAATTTTAGAGGAAAACGGATTTTACATTCCTGTCTTAGATTTTCATAAACTATCATTTGACACCAACTTTAAAGTTAATCCGTGATTGAAAATTCCGGTTAAATTTAATCTCCGGGTAAATTCAAAGTTGGTGTCAAATGATAGTTTATGAAAATCTAAGATAGGAATGTAAAATCGGTTTTCCTCTGAAATTAACCGTTCAGGTTTTACAGCCTGTCAAAGTTGCAAAAAAATCAATTTTCAACTGCCAATATTTCCGAAACAGTTGAAGATAGGTATATGACATTGTACATGAAATATGTCGAAAATTTCCCGCAGAATTCATAAATGTCATAATATAGAGGTTGATTCATTTGAAAAAACAAAGTTGATAGCAGCGGAGCTATTTTTGAGACACCCTGTATAACGAAAAATATATCAAAAAATTTCAAACAAAAAAACAAAATTGACGTGTTTGAGCGATTTTTCAAAATAACCGTTTTCAAAATAATGAATTTATCCGTTACTTTACGGACACACTGTATATATTTTTTTAAATTTTTCCTTATATAGGGTGTCGGTTTTAAGTGGTACCACTATTGCTGTCTCCCAAACGGTAAGAAGGACGAAGTCGGTTAAATTAGATAAAAGTGGCAAATTTTAGTATTCATTGAAGGTAAGTTCACAGGGTTGCCAAATATTTGTACGTTTCCGAGATATAAGGGAAATGTAAAAAAGTTTTAAATGTTTTTTACAGGTAGTTTAATGACCAAGAAATGTACACATTTTATATGCATTTACATCTACCTGTTACCTAATAATATACCAGGATGGTTAGGTATCCTCACGCTCAGGTGACAGGTAGATGTAAATGCATTAAAATGTGTACATTTCTTGGACATTAAACTACCTGTATCTCAAAAACTAGTCATAGGATCAAGTTGGGCCAATGCTAAGTATTGATCAGAAAGGTCAAATTTATATCATATTAGAATTTGGTTAAATTTGGCGGAAGTCCCAAATCCCATAAAAGGTGTGCGGGGTCCATTTCAAAATCTATCAATTTTTAAAAAAAGTGTTCAATGCAAAAGTTCCAAGATTCTTTCTTCTCTACAAAATGGCGTTTGTTATCTTCACACAGCTTCTAGTGGTGTTTAGATTTTACCTCAGAAGCTTTACTTATGTCTCGGAAACAAATAAAAAATTGGCAACCCTGTGAACTTACCTCCAATGGATATTAAAGTCTGCCATTTTTATTTAATTTACCCGACCTCATACCTCCTGTTTCGGAAATAGCACTAATGGTATCACTTAAAACGGACAGTTAATTTTGCATCTGTGAGGAGTATGTCTGAATATTTCTCTCTGAGATTGCTTACATTGGTTAGGCCAGACATACTTTTTTAATGGTTGATATGTATTATGAGATTCATAGGTTAAAGTATTTTCTTTCAGTTTAGTAGTACTCTTGTCACCAGTTTAGTACTTTCGCCTGGTCTGGGGCCGCCAAGGTCACGGGGCCCCCTTGCAGCTGCAGGCCCTGCGGGCCCTTAGTTACGCCACTGCATTGTGAATGATTACTCATACAGTGAGTTTTTTTTTCATTACTCAATTATTTTCAACCAATAAAAATATCCTGGTCTCAATACTCCACTATCTAAGATCCAATCAGAAAATTCGACAAATTGACAACATACTTCAACCTTCCAATCGATCATTTTAACAGCTGATTTAGACAAGACTTGTACTAACGTAACTTCAATTTGTCCTCCAGTTGTCAGAATTGGCAATTAATTTTGTTATGAAAATTAAATGAAAAACCGTATAACTCGTGCCTATTATCTATTAATCATAGAAAAAGTATAGTATTCTACTCGTGGGTAATGGCTACTACTCACTCGGGTGATTACACTACTCGCCTGCGGCTCGTACTTCATCCTTCGTGAGTAATAGCCATCATTACCTGCTCGTTGAATAATATACAATTTTTTAAACTTATACCTCCTAAACATTTTTAATCATGAAACAGATACATAGAGAGATGTTGACTAAGAAGACATATTTCAAAAACAAGCAGGAGAGTCTGTAGGTTTTACGAAGTCACAAAAAGGAGCATTTACCCCGAATAAAACACGTATTTTTCGTTCAAAACTCAGGTTCATCATATAAGAAGAATATTGTTCCAAAGAAGATCAATCAAAAGTGAGGTTAAGGTCATCGCTAAAGCGTCTACATTCACAGAAAAGGTCCAGGTACTTCTTCATTTATTCCTTGTATTGTAGCCAGTAGAAGTCAGACTGGTTGAACCTCGTATCAAAAAAGAGAAATCTGTTACGAACTTTCTCAGGATTTTGATCTTGTTTGACCAGCGAAAATGGGCAGATGGTCGAGTAAAGGTACTAACACCTAGTATTTACCTAAAAGCAGGGACCTACTCAGGTTCAATTGCTTGACGGCTTATCCTGATTTGACTACTAGGAAATTGACCATAAGATGAAGCTAATAAGTTCATTGGCATAATAGATAAGTATAAGTACAATGAAAGATACCTACACAAGATTAGGTAAATTAAATATTTGAGTAGTGAAAAACAAGCTGATTGTTTTTAAAAATATATTTTTTGAAAGTGATTATTATTTTTCACCTAAATAAAGTTTCCATGTGCCGATAAGTTATTAATGACTATATGTTGATGTTTCAAATATTAGCAGCAAATAAAGAATTACCTACAACAACAACAAAATGCAAATAAAACCCATATTTAGTATATAAACTCTGTTAACATTTTAAATGCTCACTAGGTAGTGAAAAATCAGCTGTTTTGTTCAATTTTGCAAAAATATGTGGTTTTTTAGACTAATAAAAGTTGCTAGTTTTGTGTTGGCAATATGTCCACCAAAAACTTTGACATTATGTTCAAATACTACCGAAATGTTAACTAATATTTTCGAATTGATTGGTCAGTCGGCTACTTATCAAACACCTGTGAATAATAGTGAATATTATACCGGCTACAATAAAAATGAAAAGGCAATCGGTAAGCATACACTCTTCGGTTCATTCATCCAGACTAATGTAACTCTTCCAGATTTTGGAGAGTATGATTATATTATAGTAGGTTGCGGTACAGCAGGAGGTGTTTTAGCCAATCGGCTTACTGAAAACGAAAACATCAAAGTACTCTGCATTGAAGCAGGCGGGGTTGCTCCTGCACTAACTGCAATTTTAGGCCTTAGCACACTCTACTTCAATACGCCTTTAAATTGGGGATATAATACTACTTCACAAGGAAATGCTTGTTTAGGTAAAGTTTTACAAAGAATCGTATACATTTTGACAATAAAAAAAAAACTTCAGCTTGTAAAAATCAACAATGTCCATATCCGAGAGGAAAAGTTGTGGGCGGATCGAGCACTATTAACGCAGGAATGTATAGCAGAGGAAACAAAGAAGACTACAATCACTGGGCATCACTTGGCAACATTGGCTGGACTCACGAAGAATTGTTGCCATACTTTAAAAAATCAGAATTTGCCAAGTTTGATGTAGACATAGAGCCTCAGTATCATGGTTTTAGTGGACCACAGACTATTGATGTTGCTGAAGATACTCCAGGATTGGTGTGTTTATGTTCAATAACGATCAAAAAAAAATTTATATTTTTATCTGTTTCAGACAGAATTATTTTTAGATGCAGCTAAGGAGCTTGGTGCCATACAGCTAGATTACAACGGCAAAAGTCAAAATGGTACTAGTAGAGTCCAAGCATATTTAAAGGGAAATGTTCGTTCTGGTACCTCACAGGCATACGTCAGACCAGCACAAGATCGTCCCAATTTCCACTTGCAACTAAATTGTCTAGTCACAAAAATAGTAATTAAAAATTCTACAGCTGTTGGAATAAGGTTTATTAGAAATGGCAAATTGTATTCTGTTAAAGCTAAGAAGGAAGTTATAGTTTCAGCTGGGGCTGTAAATACACCACAACTTTTAATGCTTTCTGGTATTGGTCCTAGAAGGGAACTAGAGAAACATGGAATAAAACCAGTTGCATTTTTACCAGTAGGGCAATATTTACAGGATCATCCTATATTTCCTGGAATGGTTTTCAGGTAATAGCTATTTTTTTCTAAAATATTCACATGCCTATCAATACATTTATTGCTCAATGAACTGCGAATTCCATTTGGCTAATATTTTTAGAACTAATCAAGTCTATTATAACACATCCTTTGAACAACAAGTAAATGATTTTTGTGAAAATAAGCGACCGCTTACAGCAGGATGGGGATTCCAATGTGTTACTTACATTACCCTTGACAACAAGCCTAACAGACGACCAGATATAGAACTATTGACCATTGGACCACCGGCTATGAGTCCAGCTTGGGGAGCTGTTTTACAGTAAGTCTACAATAAATCTTTGAGCAGCAAATTACTTATCAATCTATCTATTAGATATAATGAAGAATATGCAGCAGCTTTCCAAATTCTAAACCCCTTAACTGACTTCATGAACACCCTTCTGCTACTAAATCCTTTTTCTCGAGGAGAAGTAACGCTGAAATCTAAGAACGCTGCTGATCTTGTTCAAATAAATCCAAACTTTTTCTCTGATAAACGTGATCTACAGATTATGTATAGAGGAATCGAGAAGGCATTGCAATTAATGCATACCAAGGCTTATAAAAACTTCAAAGCTGAATGGTTACGTATACCGATGCCTGGCTGTGATGAGGCATTTGAATATTTTTCCAAAGAATGGTGGATTTGTATTGTCAAGCATTTATCAGTTCCTGTAAGTAAATATGAATTGTTATTGATCATTTAATAAAGCTGTCCCACAGTGTTTCCATCCTATTGGTACAGCCAGAATGGGTCCAAGTCCAAACATATCTGTAGTTGACAATGAGCTGAAAGTTCACGGTATCTGTGGTTTGAGAGTTGTAGATGCCAGCATAATGCCAACTCATATATCTGGACATCCAAATGCTGCTGTTGTTGTGATTGCTGAAAAAGCGTCGGACCTGATTAAGAGAGATTACGAAAATAATAAGCCTGATTGCAGAAGATAAATATATATATTTATATTATTTCTTGTTTCTATTTGTATATAAATAAATCCAATATTGATGAAAATATTTGTATTTTTTCATAAGAAATTGTCAATCAATCAATATCTCAAATAGATATTCGTAAGATGTTCATGGGAGTATTTTAAAAAAGAGAAGGGTAAACTCGGGACAGACTGTTCTCTTATACATTTTCGGTAAAACAAACCTATATTTGGAAACAATCTCACTTTTCTGCCCCTATCCAAGTTTAATAATTTATTCATCCCGGCAATACAAATAGAAATGTTTACAGACGTCAACTGGAGCCATGTAATCTTCAAGAGTCAGTTTTTTTGGTAGAATGCCTTGGTTTTTGTAGATAAATAAATAAATAGATAATAAATGGCTGGTAAAAATAAAAATACATAAATATTCTAACTCTCCTTCCACATAACACATACGCCTTCGTCTCGGTTCCATAGAACTCTTATCCGATCCAAGATGGATTGGATTACAAGTAGATTGTGGATTGTCCTGTAAGTAATTTGGTCAAACCTTTCCTCGCATATCAACACATACATTATTATAGTACATTGAGAATTAATTTAGTCAGTGTCTTTGTAATGCAACGATGATCTATTTCCGTATTTAGGCTGGATATATACCTAGCTATACAGAGACTCATACATGATTGTTTTAGGAATATGTAGGTATCTAAAATTGCAAATCTCTGCACATAATAGGCTTATCATATTTTTGTTTAGCCGTGTGTAAAGCCACTAAATTTTCACCAAAACCAGTGATGAAATGTGGTTCCAGGATCCATGCCCCTGCACCAAGTTCTCGGTCATCATTTTCCCAAAGGGTAATATAATGAGCTTGCCCTCTTCTCCAAGTTTTTCCAAACACAGCATACATTAATTTGGAAAAATATCCTTTCGATGCAAAATAATTTCAGTTGTTATTTTAAATTTAGAACTTCATTTTTATCACTATTATGTTGTTAGGCTTCTGGAAAATGTGTATTTTCTATTTCGACTTTTTCTCGAAACAACTTCTTCAGGATACGAAAAATGGCAGGTTCACGTCAGAAAATATTTTGGAATGATCAATTTAAAAAAAAAAAAAAAAACACACAAAAAATTCCTATAAATATTCAGTTTATTCTAATACGAATCGAGACAAAAATACTCCTCCAATATTTGTCAATGTTATTTTTTGCAATCAGGCCTATTATTTTTGTTATCCATTATAATAAAGGCGGATGCCTTTTCAGCAATCATAACAACTGCAGCATTTGGATGTCCAGATATGTGAGTTGGCATTATGCTGGCATCTACAACTCTTAAACCACAGATACCATGAACTTTCAGCTCATGATCAACTACGGATATATCTGGAGATTTACCCATTCTAGTTGTACCAATAGGATGAAGACCCTAAAAATACATTTTTTAATGATTATAACAAATACTTAACTATACTTACAGGTACTGACAAGTGCTTCACAACACAAAGCCACCATTCTTTCGTAAAATACACAAACTCCCCATCACAACCAGGCATCGGTATACGTAACCATTCAGCTTTAAACTGTCTATAAGCTTCAGTATCAATCAATAGCAATGTCCTCTCGATTCCTCCATACATTACATCCAAGTCACGTTCATCAGAGTAAAATTTTGGATTTATCTCGGGATAAATAGAAGGATCCTTAGATGAAAGTGTCACTTCTCCACGAGATTTAGGATTGAGTAGCAAAAGACAGTTCATAAAGTCAGTGGCTGGGTTAAGAATTTGGAAAGCTGCAGAATATTTTTCGTCATATCTGCAATGCGGATTTCTGCCTAGTTTGCTGATTAAAACACATTTGTAAACTTACTGTAAAACACCTCCCCAAGTAGGACTCATGGCTGGTGGTCCAAAAGTCAACAATTCGATATCTGGTCGTCCGTTTGTATTATTTTCCAAGCTAATGTAGGAAATACATTGGGTTCCAAATCCCGCAGTGAAAGGCCGTTTGTTTTCGCAATAATCATTTACTTGTTGTTGAAAGGATGTGTTGTAATAGACTCGGTTAGTTCTTAAAATATAAGTAAATCAGAACTCACGGCCCATAGAATGAGTAATGGTTGTTACCTGAAAACCATTCCAGGAAAAAATGGATGATCCTGTAAGTATTGCCCTACTGGTAAAAATGCAATGGGCTTTATTCCAAGTTTCCTTAGCTGCTCTTTGGGACCAATACCAGACAGCATTAAAAGTTGCGGCGTATTCACAGCCCCAGCCGAAACAATAACTTCCTTTTTAGCTTTTCCAAAATACAATTTGCCATTCCAAATAAATTCAATTCCAACAGCTATAGAATTTTCAATTATTATTTTTGTGACTAGACAATTTAGTTGCAAGTGGAAATTGGGACGATCAATTGCTGGTCTGATGTATGCCTGTGAGGAACCAGATCGAACATTTTTGTTCAAATACGCCTGGACTCTACTGGTACCATATTGACTATTACCGTTGTAATCTCGTTCTATGGCTCCAAGCTCATTATTTGCGTCTATGAAAAACTGTGTCTAGAAAACAAATTTAAGTAATTTGGCTTGAATTCTAACAACAAATACCAATTCTGGAGTATCTTCAGCAACATCAATAGCTTGTGGCCCCTCAAAACCATGATACTGTGGCTCTATGTCTACATCAAATTGGGCAGCTTCAGATTTCTTAAAGTATGGCAACAATTCGTCATAAGTCCAGCCAGCGTTGCCAAGTGATGCCCAGTGATTGTAGTCTTCCTTATTTCCTCTGGTATAAATTCCAGCGTTGATAGTGCTGGATCCAGCGTTGATAGTGCTGGATCCACCCTCGACTTTCCCTCTTGGATATGGACATTGTTGATTCTTACAAGCTAAAGTTGCTTATGGTAAGCAAAATGATCAGAGTTTTCTCTGGAATATTACCTACCTAAACAAGCGTTTGTTTGCGAAGTAGTATTGTATCCCCAATTATAAGGCGTAGTAAAGTAGAGTGTGCTTAAACCTATAATTGCAGTTAGTGCAGGAGCTGCCTCACCTGCTTCAATACAGAGAACACTGATGCTTTTATTTGCAGTGAGCCGATTGGCTAAGACACCTCCTGCCGTACCGCAACCTACTATAATATAATCGAACTTTCCAAAATCTGAAAGATGAGCTACATTAGTTGAAATGAAAAAAACGAATTATGTTTGCTTACCAATTGCCTTTTCAGTTTTATTATAGCCGGTATAAAATTCACTGTTATTTACAGGTGTTTGATAAGTAGCCGACTGACCGAGTAGTGCAAAAATGTTGGTTAAAAGTTCCGTATAATTTGAGCACAATGCCAAAGTTTTTTTTGGAGATGTTGCCAATAGAAAACCACAAACTAAAATAAGTTTAAATTGCCACATATTTTGCGAGATTATTCGAAGCAAATGATTGACATTTTTAAACAGTAAAAAAAAACACAGTTTATATACTATATTTTGATTTGCATATTGTTATCTCAACGTTTTGTTTGCTGGGTACTAATATTATTCGAAAAATCGTCCATAGTATCCCATAAAAAATTAGATCATGGACAATTTTTGACTCACAAGTTAATATTAATTTGTCAAAACAATTCAGAATATTTTTTTTATAACAAATATTTGTTTTACCATATCTATTGTGCCAATGAACTTAGCTTCATCTGATTTATCTTTTATCATATTTGGTATAAATTGTGTCAAACAACAACTTCTCCTCTTGTGATGGTCATTGGTCGAACATTTGTTGTTCGAATTCTACTGATGCAATATTGAGTTTCGTGTTCCCAACTGCTTTGAAATATCCAGCAACTTGCCACGCAATTTCCGCCCTCAAAAGGCTCAAGCCACCGACCATTGAGGTTCTTTAGGTTATTAAGCCACATTAGACTATGATGATCAGTGATCACAGTGAACGTTGATCCTTCCAGATTTTGCCTCAGCTTTTCGATAGCCCAATTCACCGCCAAACGTTCTCGTTCCGTATCAGTGTAATGTCGTCCATTTCGATTCAGAGAACGGGAGACATATGAATCCACCTTTTCTCCTTCTGATGTTTCTTGTGTCAATACAGCGCCGATTCCAAAACCACTAGCATCACCCTGCACGGTAAAGGGTAAGGAAAAATCGGGGCAAGTCAAAACAGGCGCAGTTACTAAAACATCCTTCAATGATTGGAAAGCTTCTCCACACTTTAAAAGGTTGGTTTTTCCGTGTCAGATTCGAAAGAGGAAATATTAAAGTAGATAAACTGAGAATAAATCTCCTATACCAGGACGCCATGCCTATCACTCTTCGTATCTCTTGTACATTGGTAGGAGGTGGGATTTTCAAGATGGTACTGACCTTATCGGGGTCGACATGCAGACCATTACGATCAACGACATACCCCATGTTGGAAACATGTTCCAACAATCATGCTATCTCTTTTTGATGGCAAAATATTTTTATACATATAAAGTTTGCAACACTGCAGCGTTGTCGTCATGTCTATTTTGTCATGTCTGTCAATATATTGCGCGCCATTTTTGTCATTGCAGCAGTGTAGCTTGGAGCTTGTCCACGTTAACAAGCATCCAGAAACCTTTTCACATTTTAATAAATTTTATAATCTAGCTCTGCCCTGTTGGGCATCTAAGCAAGCTCTGGCTTCTTGTCATCTTGTAGTAGTAATTGTAAATAGTGTAAATATTGTGTAAATTGTTGTAAATATAGTGTCAGTGAAAAGCGCGTGTGTTTTAGTTCCCTATCCAGTCGATCATCCAGTCCACCTAATTATACAGTCCACTAATTATCAAGTTATTTATCTTCCATTATGTGGTTTTGCACATAATTTTGGCCAGTTCGAGCCGGATACTGGATAGTTCGGAACCTAAAAGTGCTTTAAAAACCCTCAAAAAGTGCCTTTTTAGTGGTTATTGATTGTTCCATCGTGATTTTTGGCGCCATGTGATGCAAAAAATCAATCATCCACTGTGCAGTCTGCACGTGTCTCAAACAACGTTGGGTTCCACGTGCCACCAGCGAAGGTTTCCGCCGGAACCGGAAGTGCGTAAGTAGAGTGGGGCGGAGCAAACAAACTTCACTTGTCAAATTCAAAAGGGTGCTTCTTTTTCTCGTCTGGTTCAACCCAAGTCACCCCGGGTGCAGTATCCTTGCTTGGTGCAATGAAGTACAGCCCCGGAGCAACGAACATGAAAGTGAGAGTTCACCACCCCGACAGCTTAACCTCAAATTAAATGTCAAACATTTGTTTACGTTTTGTTGTTTGTTGTTTGTGTATTTTGGATTTTTGCAGTGAATTTGAGTGAATTTGCATTATTTTTGAAAAACTGAATTTTTCGCATTAATTATTGCTATTTTTTCATTATTTATTTAAAGGATGAACAATTATCCGTTTTTCGTTTTGTTAAGTAGTTTTAAAAAAAAAAAATCTAATTTATTAGGTAATTTTAAATTTTGTTTATAGATTTCTTTTGATATTTTCTTATTTTTTTGATTGTAAACTTTGTAAATATGGCTACCAAAAAGCAAATTGATAAATTATTGTCAAAGAAAAAGCAAGCAATCGACTCCATGGTTAGAATAAGTCGTTATATTTCCGATCACAAATCTGATCCTGACAGTGAGTATAAAACCGACCAATTTTTAGTTCGGAAGGAAATATTGCAGGACAGTTTTCAAAAGCTTAAAGACATTCAATTTGAAATTCTGTGCCTTGATGGTAACTATGATGATTCAATTGATGATGTAGAAACTCTTTTTTATGATGTCATTGTAAGTATTAAAAATTGTTTACCTAAATCTAATTTACCAGGACCAGCTAATACTAGTAATTTAGCAACTAATATTGCTCAATCGGTTTCAATTCCACCTACTCAAAGTAATAATTTTATTTCTGCTGCTAAATTGCCCCCAATCGAGATACCTACCTTTGATGGAAAAAAATTAACCAAACCAAAAAAGGTATTTATCTCAGATCGGTTACCAAGATTGCAGTGTTACCGATTGATGACAATAATTGTTAATAATATTTTTGAAAATTATTCACAAAATTCTGTACATATATTTGTAAAACATTTAGATTTATATTTATATTCAATTAGCTATACTCGTATATACATACATAATGTCATACTATGTGTTCCAGAAATGTTTTTAGCTTTAATTGTTAGTTAAGTTTTCGTTTACTGGATCATCATTGAAATCATACCTTTTTTTAAAAAAAGGGTTGCTTACTTTCTCTTTAATTTTTTTATTTTTTTTTGCTGGAAAATTTTACCTTGGTTTCATGTGAAACTCTAGGCCCCCCAGCATGTTGGAAACATGTTCCAACAATCATGCTATCTCTTTTTGATGGCAAAATATTTTTATACATATAAAGTTTGCAACACTGCAGCGTTGTCGTCATGTCTATTTTGTCATGTCTGTCAATATATTGCGCGCCATTTTTGTCATTGCAGCAGTGTAGCTTGGAGCTTGTCCACGTTAACAAGCATCCAGAAACCTTTTCACATTTTAATAAATTTTATAATCTAGCTCTGCCCTGTTGGGCATCTAAGCAAGCTCTGGCTTCTTGTCATCTTGTAGTAGTAATTGTAAATAGTGTAAATATTGTGTAAATTGTTGTAAATATGGTGTCAGTGAAAAGCGCGTGTGTTTTAGTTCCCTATCCAGTCGATCATCCAGTCCACCTAATTATACAGTCCACTAATTATCAAGTTATTTATCTTCCATTATGTGGTTTTGCACACCCCAAATATTTCAATTCCGGGCGGCAGAACTTACATTTTTCCTTAGAAACCGTTAGGTTGGCAGCTCTCAGCCTCTTGAAAACTTCATCTAATACTTCCAGGTGTTTCTCAAACGTGGAAGTCACAATAATTATATTGTCAAGATATACCAGTATGTACTCCTCCAGATGGGCCCCCAGAACTTGGTCTATTGTCATGTTGCGGGTGCGTTGGATAATCCTATAGGTAGAAGTCGATATTGGTACAATCCGCGACCGAGAATGGTAAAAGCTGTTAATGGTTTTGAAGCCTCTGAAAGGGGTGCCTGAAAATATGCAGACTTAATATCCATCGTGGACAAATACCGAGCATTTTTAAGATTTTCCAACGTAGCGGAAATGAACGGTAGAGGGTATGAATCCTTTTGGGTAAACGTATTCAATTTTCGGAAGTCCGTTACAAATCGCCATAAAACTCCATCCGATTTCTTCACAAGAAGAATTGGAGCTGCCCAAGGACTGGAACTTGGTTTAACTATACCTTCTTTCAAAAGTTTGTCAAGCTCCGCATGAATATGTTTCTGCATAATCGGCGAGAACGGGTAGTAGCGCTGTTTTATTGGTGGAGATGACGTTTCTATATGGTCCTCTACTAAGGTAGTACAACCAAGGCGATCGACCATTTTTGCAAAACATTGCTTGACCAAATCCTCAAATTTCTTATTTTGCTCGGGAGTTAATTCTGATTTTGAGCTTAAATTGTCTGAGCCCAAGCTGATAGAAGTGATGCTTGTTACAGTGAAAAATTTCCAATTGCCGTGCCTCAAGTCAGGCACAATTTCCATCCGTCTCCAGAAATCTGCACCGAGTATCAAGGTATGCGGCAATGTTGGTATTATTAAGAGTTGATGAACTTTTACTCGACCTTCCACTGCGATTGGCACATATATAGATCCTATACTTAGACACTTATTACCATCCGCAACGGTACAAGATATTTGATGTTCTTCATTTAGGGGCAAATTTAGAGTTTTTAGAATAAACCATCCAGGCCCACCGGCGATACTTGATGACGCGCCACTATCCAGGAGACCATGTAATTCTAAGCCCAAAATATTTACACAAAGGTAAGGTCTTTTATCTCCTTCAGCATAGGAGAGGATGACATCCAGCTTTTTGTTTATTTGTTAAAATTCTATTGGTGATGATGGTGGGATCACGAGACACTTCATGGCCCTCTAATGTCTTGGCCTTGCGTTTTCCGAACTGCTAGAGCATTTAGGACAGTTCAGAACAGTATAATTTCCAGTGCCACATCGGAAGCAATATTTAGTTTTGGACTTACTATACTCCGAAGCTCGATGGCCACCAGCCCTGCAATTCCAACACGAGATCTCATCAATGACCACATCATCCACTGCACTGGTAGAAGCACTGCCTTCTGTATATAAATATAAGCTAAATCAGGCTCAATCAGTTTCTTATTTCTATGCGAGGGAGGAGCAAATTTTTCAATTGACTGTTTGCTTTCCTCTATCTGCCTTCCTAGATCAATAAGGTGTTGAATAGACTTGACTGTGATTAAGCTCAGTTGACTTTGATAAAATGGTGAAATATTTTTCATCAAAATTTTGAGTACCAGAGCATCTGCTACTGGACAGGTTAACCGTTTGAACATGTTGATCATTGTGGCTACATAGATACCTATCGATTCCTTAGGTCCTTGAGTTCGCTGTTTAATCTCATCAAACAATCGATCATTATAATCACTTGGCAAAAACTGTCTGCGTAATTCATGAACCAGTTGTTCCCAGGTTCCAATGTTATCTT